GGATGGATGGTGGGGGGACTGGATAGATGGCGGGGGACTAGATTGATGGTGACGGGATTGGGTGGATGGATATGAGAGGACTGGATGGATGGTGGAGGGGGACTGGATAGATGGATGGTGGGGGGAACTGGATGAATGGATGGTGTAGGGAGATTGAATGGAAGAATGGTGGAGGGGGAGTGGATGGATGGATGGTGAAGGGGGGGAGTGGATGGATGGTGGAGGGGGAGTGGATGGATGGATGGTGGAGGGGGGGCTGGATGGATGGATGGTGGAAGGGGGGCTGGATGGATGGTGGAGGGGGGCTGGATGGATAGATGGTTGAAGGGGGGATGGATGGTTGAGGGAGGACTGGATGAATGGATGGTGGAGAAGGGATGGATGGTGGAGGGGGACTGGAAGGATGGTGGAGGGGAGCTGGATGGATGGATGGTTGAAGGGGGACTGGATTGATGGATAGTGGAGGGGACTGGATGGATGAATGGTTGGAGGGACTGGATGGATGCATGGTTGAGGGTGGCTGGACGAATGGATGGTTGGGGGGACTAGATGGATGGATGGTGGAGGGGAGACTGGATTGATGGATGGTGGAGGGGGCTGGATGGATGGATAGTGGAGGGGCTGGATGGATGGATGGTTGAGGGGCTGGATGGATGGATGATGGAGGGGGACTGGATGGATGGATGGTGGAGGGGGGCTGGATGGATGAATGGATGGTGGTGGGGGGGCTGGATGGATGGTGGAGGGGGCTGGATGGATGGATGGTGGAGGGGGCTGGATGGATGGATGGTGGAGGGGGGCTGGATGGATGGATGGTGGAGGGGGCTGGATGGATGGATGGTGGAGGGGGGCTGGATGGATGGATGGTGGAGGTGGCTGGATGGATGGATGGATGGTGGAGGGGGCTGGATGGATGGATGGTGGAGGGGGGCTGGATGGATGGATGGTGGAGGGGGCTGGATGGATGGATGGTGGAGGGGGGCTGGATGGATGGATGGTGGAGGGGGCTGGATGGATGGATGGTGGAGGGGGCTGGATGGATGGATGATGGAGGGGGCTGGATGGATGGATGGATGGTGGAGGGGGACTGAATGGTGGAAGGGGACTGGATGTTGGAAGGGGGGACTAGATGAATGAATGGAGGGATGGTGGAGGGGATGGCGGCAAAGTGGGGGATAGGTTGGCAACTGTGGATTGGCAGTTGTCAGTGTGGTGGCAAGCATTAGTGAGATGGTTGGTGTTACGTACCCCTATAAGATACGTATATGAATATTAATTAATTTGTACTTATATATTTCATCACATTTATATGATTATATATTCATTACTTGTAGGTGATTTATTGTGTTTACATATTTCATTACATGGCTGTAATTATATATTATATGTTGGAATAAGCCCAATGGATCCACCGTGGGAACGGTTATATTTTCTTTGTTTGCTCACGGCTGATTTCGTGGGAAAAGTGGTTTTGTAATGATCATAAGTGGGTAACATTATGTGAATCTGTAATAGTTGATCATTAGGGGGCAACGCCCCGTGAGAGAGTTTTAGTTCCTGGTGGGCATTGCCAACATTTCCCTCTGTTGTTTTATTTTAATTACTGCATGTATTAACCCTTAAATGGCGCATGGCTATATACTGATTGACACCCACAGGCGCAAAAAAAAAAAAAAAAAAAAAAATTTTTACTTCTAACCTGTTAAGTCGTGTTCCCAGATCACGGGAAAAATAAAAAAAAAATTCAATTATACTTACCGGCGATGTAATTGAGCTGAGATTAGAGCCGAGATCTATCAGTCTCCGTGGTGTAGTGGTAAGACACTCGCCTGGCGTTCTGCAAGCGCTATGTCATGGGTTCGTATCCTGGCCGGGGAGGATTTACTGGGCGCAATTCCTTAACTATAGCCTCTGTTTAACGCAACAGTAAAATGTGTACTTGGATGAAAAAACGATTCTTGGTGGCAGGGGATCGTATTCCAGACACTCGGAACTCCGTGAGTGTCAACTGCTACACCCTCACTCCAACATCCAGTCTCTCCCTCACTCCTCCAACGTCTTACTTGCCAAGAATACTCCTTCCACCATACTGTTATTGTTTGTATTACACTACACATGTTTTGTATACCTATTGTGACGGTAAAGTGTTGGAGTGTTGATGTTCGGCTGTTTCAATAGCTGGGGGCAGGGCCTCGTCACATTTACAGAAAAAAAAAGATCATCGTTTGCCCGTTTGTCTGTGGTAAGGTAATGGGAAGACACACAACACACAAAGTATAAACAATGAAATTTTAATTACTCTAGAAAATAAGATATGAATAAAGACAATCGCGTGTGCTGGCCCAGACGTCGACTCAGGTAGTGGCGTGAGTGCAGGTGCGGCGACACACCAGCCAATCAGGAACAGGCAGGCGGAGAATGAGTAGTTTGCTGGTTTGACGGCGGGTGGGAGCCGGTGTGTCTGGTGGTGCAAGGTACGCTTTGCTTCCTGGGCAAAACGTTTGGTGATACTGGTAGACGTATCTTCAATATAGTATCTTGTACTTGAATGACGTAAATTTGTAGGGAAGAGCAGGCTCAATCTCTCTTGAAAGAGATTATTGTCACACTATCTACATGTTTTATTCACCAGAACTATGCAAGTAAGCCGGTATTGTGTCCAAACTTTACAGTGGCCACCATACACTGCATGAGAAATCACACAGCAGCCAGCAGACGACGCTACGATTACGTCACCTCCCACACCAAAATAGCTCCTCCCAACATACTCCAGTTGCTGTTACTACACTATATACACACATTGTATATACCCATGTACAAATGTGTTCGCCATAGCGAACCACTAAGCTAGTATGATGAGCAAAGCAAGAGTGGCTGCCACACTGTGAGGCTACCTCGATTCTCTCCCTCCCTCCCTCACCACAATTACTCCTTCCACAATACTATGCACACATGTACATGGGTATATACACACATTACATATACCCATGTATATATGTGTTCACCATAGCGAACCACTAAGCTAATATGATGAGCAAGGCAAGAGTGGCTACCACACAGTGAGGCTACCTCGATTCTCTCCCTCACCACAATTACTCCTCTCACAATACTACGCACAGTGCTTATTATCACCACAATTCTGCTGTTATGACTATACTGGTCACTAAATCCTGTAAATACATAATTGACCACAAGTTTATTTTGTAAAGGAATCTAAGAAGTCGTTTGAAGATTCCTAGATGGACGAAATAATGCTGTGGTGCTGTGGCTAGCGCTGTGAACATCGCGAACAGCATTGAATCACTAATATTTGAACATTGTGCACAGTCATTATCACACTCAGGCTCTTCGGTAATACTATCATGGCTAAATAATACAAGTTATATATATATATATTTTGACATTATTAGGCAATGCTGTGGTCACAAGCTGAACAGCAGTGCTGTGAGCTCATGCTGCGTGCACTGGCCTTCGTTGCTCACTCATTACTGAGGCTCTCACACCCAGGAATGTGGACCACGATTTTTTTTAAAGATGGCGTCTGTTTACAAGAGCCCTGAGGAAGCTGATGTGAACCCCATGTAGCCGCAGGAGTTTTGAATGGAACGGGAAAAATACAAATACCCGGAGGCGCGTAGCGCACCCCAGACGTGGGCCTGCAGGTGCGTTGCGCAGATAAAGGATTAAGTTAATATTTTTGGGTGTGTGGAACGGATTAATTCAATTTACATTATTTTTTATGGGAAAATTCTTTTCGGTTTTCTTAATTTTCGTTTTTTGTAACGTCTCTTGGAACAGATTAACTACGAATACTGAGGTACCACTGTATAAAAAATGCCAATTATGAGTCCATTTCCGTAAGGAAATGAATGTTAGTAAAGAAAATTAACATTAGTAAAGGAACATAAGGTCATTTCATGATGTTTAGATGCAGGAAACAAAGGCTGGGTGCTATGTCTGTACCTCATGCTGTTAATATCATAACTAGCATTGTATTCACTGATATCTGAACACTGTACATAGTCCTGTATGTCCAGCCTTGGTTGCGCTCTCAGTACTAAAGTTCATACATCCAGCAGCGATGCAGATGATTTCTTTTCAAGATGGCATCTGTTTACAGGAGTCCTGAGGCATAGGATGTACCCATACAGGATGCCCCAAGTACCCGTTGCAGTTTTGAATTATTCCTTATACCGAAATTGTCATATGGTGCTCTGCGCACCCCCAATTGGGTGCCTTAAGACGCTTTGCACAGTGCATTGGTTAAGGAAAAGAAGGTAGTGATTCAACTGTATAAATCTCTGGTGCACTCCCATTTTGATTATTGTATCTCAGCATGGAGACCTCACCTTCAGAAAGACGTAGCTTTCTGGAGAAAAGTGCAACACCGAGCCCCAACAGTCATTCCAGAGCTAAGTTTTCTCTCATATCATGAACAGTTGAGGCTCACAGAACTAACAATGCAAACCAGGCAAGACAGGGCAGATCTCATTGAAACTTTTAAAATACTAAACAAGTTGGAGGATGTTGATCCTGACAATTTCTTCAAAAGATCAGATGTAACACAAACAAGGAGCAACGGTTTCAAGCTCAACAAACCTCAATGTAGGACTGAGAACAGGAGATGCTTTTTCACCCACAGGGTTATAAAGACCATGGAACTGCCTACCGATCGAAACTGCAAATGCCAAAACACTGTTAGGCTTTAAAATCTACCTAGAGAGGATCATCAAGGCAAATGGGGGACCTTAGACAACCTGCTGGTTTCCTGTCTTCATCAAGACAACTAGTGTTAGTGGCCTTCAGGTAAATCGGGTACATCTTTCTCATGATCGTTATGAGGCCTTCTTGTTTGTCGTCCAGCTCCTTCTTTCTCCATGTGTAGCATGCTGATGGACTGTAGGCATTTATGATTATAAGTTTATCATCCTGATTGCAGTATTAAGAATATTAACCTAGCTTATAACTTTAATTCTAAGAGCAACTGAATTTGTTCTCAGGTTCAGGATTGATATACTTACGCAATGACAATGATGCTAACTGCACCTATGAAGGTGATAATAATGTCCTGCTGCAGCAGACTAGCAACTGGCTCATAGGTGTATGGAAGAATCGATCGGAGATGTCTGTAGCTCATCCTATGGGTACTGTGGATTACTTTGATCAAGGTGACCACATTCTACGCCAGACATGGATGAATTCCCCAATAAATGAACACTCTACCAATCTAGGTAAGATTATGTTTTTTCCAGCAAATTCCATACTTTTCACTAAATTCTCCCCTCTTAAATGTAGAGTATGTTATATTAAGAGGTGTAATACATGCTTATGTTTATGATATGTTAATTTTTGTATGACTTTAACCCCTGGGCAACATAGCTATTAACCAGGGTCATGGTGGCCCGTTTGTTTCTGCTAGGTCTTCGGATTCTGGCCTACCTCAACGACTGGTAGGTGTGGGCTCTCAGCCAGTCTGTGTGTCTGCTAGCCTGGGATCTGGTTCTTTCCCAGCCTGTTGGGGTCGGGTTCGGGTTACTGGTAAATTGGCAAAGTCCCAGTTGGTTCCGTCCCCAGGTTCAAACATTACTGGGCCTCGTGTGGGATTTGCGGACAACATTAGTCTCTCTCGCTCCTGTGGCATTGCTCCAGTTGCGGTCCCACCTTCGGCTGTTTCTGAGTGGGACCTGGGTCACTTGGCGGTTGCTTGAACAATTGTGAGGGAGCGTGAACTTTGCCAAGTTGGTTTACCCGCTGGCCAGGGTTTGGTTCTGGAGGCTGTTCTGGTATCTCCGGGCAGCCCTTTTTGCCACTCTCACAAAAACTAGGTTTGTTCCCTGGGGTCCTTGCGTCAGTTGCTGCGTCTCCAAGTTCCTCTTTGGGTTTTTTTGGGTTCGGTGCAATGGCACCTTACCCTTCCCTTGCTCGATGTGTTCATGGACGCCAAGTTTCTTGGGTGGAGCTTTGTGACCAGCGCTCACCAGGCACCAGGCTGGCCAAGGTCATTGGGGTCTGTCTTTTCGTTGAGCTCACAGCAGTGTGGGAGTTTGAGGCTGTGTGGCATGTGCTGTGGCAGATTCGACTCCCTTGGGGTTCTGTGATCCAGCTCCATTCGGACTGCTCTCCTGTGGTTCATTGTCTCCATTGTCTCAACCGGGGGGAGGGTGTCTCTGTGGTCCGTGACTCTTTGAGGCTGGTTGCTTCGGGTACCTCTTCTGCTGAGTTCTCGGGGTTTGGAGATAGGGCCTGGAGGGGGACCTCTTTATGTAGACATGGTCTCGGCGTCTCCCATTATACGTGGCGCCGTTTCCTGACTGCGAAGCGCTGTCACGGTGGACGCTTTTTGGCAGGACTGATCGAGGTGGGGGGGGGGGGTTCCTGTACCTTAATCTCCCGGTTCATCTGTTGCTCCAGGGTCTGGCTCAGCTGGAATCCTATCAGGGAAAGAGTGCTTCTCCTGTCCCCATGGTAGCCAGCCCAGCCTTGATTTCAGGCGCTGCTTGCTCGGTGTCCAGACCCGGGTGTCTTTCCGGGCCTCCACCTCTTACAGCAAGTTGGGCTGGTGAGGTACCTCGCTGATTCGGCTTACTCTTCCACTCTTCACGTTTGGTTTTTCTGACACTGGTATGGTGATCAGGTGGCTTCATTGATCCCACCTCGTCCCACCTGCAGGCTTCGTCTCAGCGACAGTATGAAGTCCCCTGACAGTCTTGCTGCCATTTCCTTTCCCTTCTTAGGGTGTCATCTGTGTCTGTTAAGGTTGTTTTGTCTTTTCTCTCTTGGCTTTTTCTGGACTGGCATCTTATGCCAAATACTGTCACTTCTTATCGTGTGGCATTGGCAGAGGTGCTTCAGCTTGCATTTGGGGTGGATGTCACTTTGGCTTCGTTCTGCAAGCTCTCTCGTGCCTTTTTTCACCTTTGGTCTGCTCAGGCACTGCCTGAGCTGTCCTGGTCTTTGAACCGGGTGCTCTCTTTTCTCTCTCCTCCTCGTTTTGTTGTGGCCCCTTCAGTTCAGAACTTTTTTATGAAGGCCTTGTTTTTGTTGGCTTTCTCCTCTCAATAATGGGTTCGGGAGCTTCATGGTCTTCTCTGGTGCCAAGGGTACTGTTCTTTTGGTCCTGGGGGTTGTTTTATTCGTTTGCAGATCCCTCCTCCTTATCTGGCAAAGAATAAGATGGTTGACTTCCAGAGGGGTCTGTTGGTTTTGGATGCTTCATTGGTTCGGCTGGAGGTGCATCATGTGTTATGTCCGGTGACGGCTTTGCATCACTACCTGCAGGCCACTGATTCAGTGTCAGTGGATGCGCTCTGGATGGATCCGGTTTCCCCGATTTCCTGTTCCAGGGCTTGTGTGTCTCAGGTTGTCCACAGTGTCACCAAGTCTTGCCAGCCTGCGATCTACCCTCGTGCCCATGATGTATGGTGGGAATACATCTTGGGGTCAACATTCAGGGTTTTGGAGATCAAACAGGGTCCTGGCCACCAGGTATCTTGTGAACGTTCCGGGCCTTCTCAAGCCTTGTGTTGCTTTGGGATATTTGTAGTGGCCTGTTATCTCATCTTCGTCTTGAGACCTACAGTACTGCCGCCTCCCAGTTAAGTCCCTGTTTGTGTGGAGAGCTCCTCTGGCTCCCCAGTGCTATACCAGGCTGATATCTATGTATTAGACCGTGACATCGGTCTATTCGATGGAGTTCTTGCTTACTGGGGACCATGAGCCAGAACCTGGCCCCCTCAGAGAGGTGCGAGGAGCAGTGGCTTATAGAAACCCCCCATGTGGTTGGGAGAATTCCATGTCTACTATCGACCGGGTTAGGCATCCAGAAAGGTAAGCGTCCCAAAACAAACTCCACCTGGTTACAAAATTGATACCTAAAGCCGAACTGGCAAGAAGAACACCCTAATCTAAAACAAGGAAATAAGCATGACGTCACAACCGCCGCCACACCGCTGTCTGCGCAGCTCGCCACCTGCCCTTCCTGGAAGGGGGAAGGGGGAGCCCCAGATCCCTCGCACCAGCTATCCAACCCCAGTTCTGAGATTGATGTGGCATGGCGGTTGTTAGACTCTGGTTCTTGTCTCTAGGCAGTGCTGTGCCCTTGCAGTACTGTTCTGATGTGTTATTGTTTGCGAGCCAAGAGTAATTCAAGACGTACTGGGGCTGCATGCGCCTAGGGTTTTCTTCCCTAGGTGCCTTGTAAGTACTGCCCCTTGCGGCATGGGGTTATCTTTCACAAGTCATTCGGGAACTACTGCCATAGGGACTTTTTCCTGCTCGGTGACTGCCCTTGGGGTCAGCTGGGGTTTTCATTACCGCCGTTTGACCTAGGGTAGGAGGTAGTATTGTCACTGGTAAGGGCGCAAGGTACTGTGCAGCTTGTCACATTATACACAGCGACCAGTTCTGTTCTTCCTGGAGACATTGTGATTTAGTTGGGTTTTTCATTTGCTTTTGTTTCTTTTGGCTGGTGGGGGTCTGTCTTTGGTTATTGTTACCCTCTGTTATTTTGGTGGTTCCCTGCTAGGCCCCCGTACTTGTACATGTTGCAGGGGTTCAGCTATAATTGTTCTCTCGGTAGTTTGGGCCAACTGCTTAGCAGTACCTTGCCTGGGTTAACCTTAGCAGTCAGCCTGAAGGCCGTGGAATACCCCCATTGGGGCTCTTTGGTCCCATGGAGACATCCTATGGGTCTCATCTCGCTTCATACAAGTTCGAAGGTTGCTCTGTCCCCTTGTCTCAGGGTGACATTCATTGTTTTTGACCCCACCGTGATGCCTGTTGGGTCAATGCCAACTTTGACCCAGAGTCCTGGAAGTGGTGTTCCTTGCTTGTATGCCAATTCATCCAGTCTACTAATATTGATATTCGGGTGCAGGCAGCTTCAGCATTGCATGCACAGTTTAGGTTGCTGCAACGCACTAGGTTGGTTGCCTTTCCGGATGCCCCAAGGCAGCCTCGCTTTGGTTATAGGGACCCGGACTTGGGGGCATAAATCGATTTGATTTTGGTTTTGTCCTCGCTCCCTTGTATTATTCCTGCTGTTGTTTGTCCTGCTCATCACCCCCCCCTCCCCCTTGCCCCATCCAGTTCGGCAATGGAGGCATTCGAGCCTGCTCTTCCAGCCAGCATTTCGCGGTCTGACCAGCTGGTCCCCCTTTTCCTTGCTTTTCCGGTGGACTCTGCCTTTTCTTTAGAAGCAGAGGGGTTTGGAGGGTGGCTCTGCCCCGTTTAACCCCGCTTGGGAGTCAAACGGGGCACAGGCTTGGCTTGTCCTGCTCATTCTTCCCCCCACCCCCATCCCTTCTACTCCCTGTACGAGTTTAATATGATTCCAGCTCCTCCCCAGGTTCGGTTCCAGGTTCCCCTGGGTTTTTTGGTCCCCTCCTTCCAGAGGATTTCGGCCTCCCGCATCCCACCTACACAGGTTCGGGAGGCCGTTGCAGCGTACCTCCTGCATGACCCGGATTTTGCCTTGATAATGGACCCTTCCTTTAAATTAAATTAAATTAAATTTTGTATTCCGGAAAAGTACATACATAGTTGATTTACAAACATAATGTTGGATTTATAGATAGAGCTAGTACATTCCTAAAGCCACTAATACGCTTAGCGTTTCGGGCAAGTTTCTTGTTTGAGTTCAGTTCTGTTTTTCCTTATTGGGTGTGTTACAAGATGCCGGTGTCATCCTGGTTGGCAGACTGTCCTTTTCTTTGGGGGCATGGCATACGTTCTGTTGGACCCGCACGCTTGAATAGTGGGAAACTTCGGGGAAGGGTGCCCTTCTCGCCCTTTTCACAGTCGGGGTTGATGCCTTTCGGCTGGACTGGTCGAGGTGGGGATTCCTGTACCTCTTTACCCTGGTTCAGCTGTTGCTCCAGGTCCTGACTCCCTTGGAGACTTACCAGGGAAGAGTTGACCTCTTGGCCCCGTGGTGGTAAGCCCAGACATGGTTTCAGGTGCTGCTTGCTCAGTGTCCGAACCTGAAGGTTTTTCGCGCGGCTCTGCCTCTTCCAGCAGATCGGACCGGAACGTCACGTGGCTGGTTCAATCTTCTCCTCGAATCTTTGCGTATGGTATTTTTAACTCAAGTTCATCATCATCTCTATGGTGATCAGGTGGCTTCCTTGTTAGTGTCCCACCTATGGGCTTCGTCTCAGCAGCAGTATGAAGTTTCCTAGCGGTCCTTCCATTTCTTCTTGCGTCTTCATTGTTGTACTTCCCTTTCTGTTAG